GAAAGTACGAACCGAGGACATGTAGAAGTTTAGGTAAGCCAATTTGAGGAAGCGTTCTCTTCATTTGTGAGGCTCCGTCATCGTCGGCGGAAGGTGGTTGTGCACAGCTGTTTTCGCACTTCATGGTACACCTGAATCAAATCAAGTGTGCAGTGTCATTTTTTACAGTTTCGGCAGTAGACATCCTTTATTGACATTCACAAGATATTTGATGATTGGCCCGTTAACCCGATTTAGCTATAATGTTGTATTTTTTTGTTCCTTGTGTGTTACCGATTTAGGCAGTGTATGCTTTTACTTTGTTACTAATAATTAAACCTATTTTACCTAAGAACGTTATTTCATATCCCTGAGCAACATATATATTACGCTTTCGGTTTGGGGATATATTGGAAAATTAACACTTGTTGCATACTAAACCTCAAAGCGCTGTTTTAGATAAAATATTTGATAAGACACATAAGCAAAATTACAGTTTTTCATAATTTCTTTACCCATAACAATTATGGTTAACCATTTAAATGCAAGTGTAGCTAAAACAGCTGCAACGAGAACTGGTGCACAAAATAAGAAATAAGGCAGCACACGGTTAGTTCAAAAAAATACGCTGACCAATTAGACCGAAAGTGCATGCAATTTATATTAGAGAACTTTATTATAAAAAAGCGATGAAAAAAATAATAGTCGACTGTGTTAGCAGTCTGATTTTAAGCCATATTTAATCAACTTTATACTGCCGCTTTAAATCTGGATAAAGAATAATCCAGAAAGAAAAACCATTGATCCCTCGAACAAGCCAGTGAATCTGTCGTATTATCATAGTTAAGAAAACGCAATCAAAGATTGTATAAAATTCTCCTTAGAAATGATAAATAAACGATTCTTCGCCAAAGGATGTTTCCATGTAATTATAAGGGCTGCGGCAGCAACGCCGGTGTTGAAACGTGAATCAGTTGTTTGCGCAGTTGATGCATTTATCTTAATGTGTCCGCCAGTTAGAAAAACGACAGTTGTCATTAGCAAATAGATGAAAGTTTACTTCAGGATGAACAGCCATTACTGTAACTTAAGCGCCTAATGAATGAAAAAAAAACAGTTAGTTTGATTTCTGACGCGGAAGGTTATCAAGAAATTTGGCTTGACAAAGAAACTTATTCACGTTAGGCAAATGTGCTTGCATTCATTATCACCTGGCGTTTAATTTATGCATTTTGGGATTACGTAAATAACCACTGCACACATTATCCCCTCTGCCAAATTTTATTATTTAAAAATACTATATATACGTGCAGAAAGTGTCTTATGATCGTTGTTTAGCTTTAACGCTGCGTGAAATTCATTTATAGCACAAAAACCTAACAGTATTATGCCTTAAAAAATAAAAAATAGCTTGTCGGTGAAGATGTTTGGTAAAAACTTTGGTTTTATTTTTTGCGACAAAAAATCAGCGAGTTAATTTTTCATTCTTCTCGTAAAACAAGGTCTCATAATTTAAAGACTTTTACAACAATACATAAATAAATAAAATATAGTTATCTAGTAGCAACTGGGTTTTATAGTACGTTCATTTTCAACGACAGTGTTGCCTGCAACCGTGGAAGTCACAAGTGCTGCTGAAAGTACGCTGAAATGGCTTCGGATATGAAAAGAAACAAATCAGTTTCTCTATACTAATCACTTGGTTGACTTGAGGACAGAATCAAATCAAGATTTTTTTACGGGCCCTGGTGTTAACGTCGGAAGCGTCATTCAAAATTCCTCTTTCTCCAGCGGTCCCACGTAAGTGTGAAAATGTTTGAGAGGCGTAAGTTACTGACTGTTTCTCCTTTATCCATTGAATACAAAGGTAAGTTGAATGTTTTTTGTTTTACAGTTTTGTGGAGACTCTACACATAAAGGTCGATAGATTTGACTGTATTTTTTGAATTATGGGCTTTATATCTTCAAACTGAGCGTGTGAACAAATGGAAATCTACACACGCCCTTCTTATGCAGTAATAAGCAACCGTTGAGTTGTATGCTAGCTAGGCATAAGGTCCAGAATGATCCATATCTGTCTAAAACTATCGAATATGTTCAATATTGTGAGCTTTAACTCTTCTCTCATTAAAAATGAAAACTTCTAGACTTCTCCTTTTGCTGCTGTTGGGCTACTTTTACATTTTTCTAAAAGCTATACTTTTGACGCCTTGCCAATTGTCAAGGCAGTTATTAATTTGCTTTTGCATGTCAAAATGTCTGGATGGCAGAAATCAACCCCGCGACTTTTCCTTATCAAATGAGTATGCAAGAGCAGTGGCTTGCTGTCCAAAGGTGAATAATAAGTGCTTCAAATAGTCTTGACAAGACAAATTCCCATGGAAACCTGCATGCTCTAGAGTGAATGCTCTTGTTGTTTCTGTGGATGGATTAGTCAATTTATATTTTACTAAAATGCCTACCAGAGCAATATGCTTTGCGACATCAAACGAGAATGTATAATGTTCGCTTTGCTTTTACCGATTGCGTGCGCAGTATTTGATTGCAAAAAACGTATTTTTATTGTTTTACTATTCCTTCCAAAAACCAACAGCTTCAGCCTTTGGGCTTTTCTGATTTCGACTGCCCCCAAAAATTCTCTTCAGCAATCTGTAAAGAACCCAACTAATACTGTTGAGGCATTAAATGCACGCCATCGGTCCATAAAACAGCCCAGAAGTCATAAAAATCAGTTAGTAGGCAACATAAAAGTTAATACTCACTCTTTCATGATTTCCATAAAAACGGCGCGAATTCTCTTGAGGCTGGCAATCACCTGCGCGTACGGTGTGACGTAAACTTCTTCATTTTTTGCCGGTGGTGCACTTCTGTCGGTGGAAAAATATATAAATGAATTAACAAACATTTGCTGTCTATTGTTTTTCAACTGAGGTAACTATCGTCCTTGTACATAATACATTTTCTCGTTTACTGTATTCAATAAATTAGTGACCGCTCTCCAGTTGCACAAACACGAGTATTTAAAACAATTTTATCAAAATCAACAGATACGTGTACTCCCGCAAAGTACGCATGCACGATTTACGACTTTTCAACGTTAAATGTACATGGACTTATAGAAAAGTAAATATTGTAAGTGCATCAAATATTTGACCTCAAAAATATTACACAAACAAATCTCCATTTGTAGTACTGATATCAATACTATATGTGTTTGCCCTCATGATGCAGATGAGGGAATACGATATAGTATGCCTATGCCTATGCATAATTAAACTGGAAACAAAACGTGCTGTTGAATATGTTTTTGCGGTCGATCCGTGTACACTTGTCCGTAAGGCAATTGAGTGTAAGGCGATCTTATTTAACAACAACACAGTTTGCAAATAAAATGAAATTGGACGAACCAAAATGCTCAAGGACAGCACGTTTGTGTATGTGTTAAATAAAAGCGGGACGATGATCAAAGCCAATAAGCCGGCGTTTAGTTTGAAAGGCATGAGGCTTCCTGTTCCCTTTTAAAAAGCATGGCACTATACCGGGGTAACGACGTAAAAATTTTATTTCGGAAAAATAGAATTTCCGGCGATTACTTGTGGCACAGTAAAGAGGGTGCAAATATGAATAAAAAGATGAAAAGAATGCAGAGAAGGAAGAGTGGAAAGTAAGACTATTTACTTGCTTATAATCAGTTTTGTTTAATCAAAGTTTTTACCTGCATAAGCAGGTTGCTTATTAACAAAACATGGAAAATTTACGTTGG